CGCCGTAGTAGTAGCACCAGTCGTCGTCGTCGTCGCCGCCGTAGTAGTAGCAGCAGTCGTCGTAGTAGTAGTAGTAGTAGTAGTAGTAGGAGTAGTAGCAGCAGCAGCAGCAGCAGTAGTAGTAGTAGTTAGTAGTAGTAGTAGTGAGTAGTAGTAGTAGTAGTAGTAGTAGTAGTAGTAGTGTAGAACCAATACCACTACCACTGTGTACCACCACAACCACCATCACCACAACCACAACCACCACGACCACGACCGCTACTGACAGCGACTGTATCAGTCACTATTCCGTCACTTATCCGGGACTGCCGATGACAGCGATGCAACTACGACAAGCACAGATCCCACCGAAGTCGTCCACCAACAGCATCAGCAAACAGCGCATCCCGCATCAACACGAGATCTGATCCAAGAACTGCTCAGAAACTGTTACTTGCTCTGAAACTTCGCGTCCTTCTGCACTGCCTTTCGGGTGATGCGGTCCACAGTCCAAACAGTTCTGGTTGGTGTGGACATCTTCTTCTGCAGCTCCCTGCAAGAGCAGTCAAGGTGTAGGTGCAAGGTTGGGAGACTCGGGTCCGCACAGCATTAGGGTATACGGGGCCCAGCGACCCCTTAAGCCACAAGTGGACTGGGACTTATTGCGTCAGGAGTGTTCTCTCTTCTGCAACCTTCGAGCCGTACATCTGAAATTTAGTGACAAAGTGGATACACACTTTCTTTGGGAAGGATTGTTAATGGCCATCTCGCACACATGTAGATTGGCACAGGGATACTGGGATGCATAAGAAAATAGCGGGACCCGCGCTTGAAACGCTTGAAACCACTTCGGTTAATACTTGCTTGTCAAAATAGTAACATATTCAAACAGATCAAAAAATATTTGTATACATACAGGTGTGCGTGTGTGTGTGTGCATGTGTGTATATATATATATTTATTTATTTATTTATATTTATATACATATGAGCATATGCAACTACTCGTACACAGACATGTAAATCTACATGCACAGATACATCTGTATGTACGTGCGTACGTACATACGTACGTACGTATGTATGTATGTATGTATGTATGTATGTATGTATGTACGAGTATATGTATATGAAACGGGATGTGCGAATGCATCTGTGTCCGTGTGCGCTTTGCGTATATATGTGTGTACGTTACGTATGCATACCTATAGTATACATATGCGTGTATGTGTATATATATATGCTATATTATATATATATATATATAATTATATACGTGTGTGAGTGGGTTTATATGTATTATATAAACATCATGTATATACTTATACATGGTATGCGGAAGGCAGGACTGCGACATGCAACTCAATCACCCTTCCCGCACCGAAGGGCTCAGCCCCTCAACCCCTCAAACCTTCAGCTTGCGACCATGCGGCCCAACTTTTTGGTTCATTTCGTAGATCAGCGACCCGATCTGATCCTCGTAGCTTCAGACTTATCAAGTCTCACCTACGCTATTCAAGGAGTGATGCAGAAGCAGGACAGTGACCACGTCACGTACAAGCAAAACAGACAACACTGTACGCGCATAGCGGTGGTGCTGATAGATTCCATGCTTATTACCCTAGCTCTTCTGGCAACGCTACAAGTCGTGCTCCTGTTTGCTGATGCCGCGACGTAGTCGTCAGTGCATTTTTGCTGTTGCGAGGTTTGAAGTTTTGTAGTGATACTACCCGTTACGCGAATACTTGCTACTGGAGACATGATTGTACTAGATGCCTTGAAGGCTACCGGGTCTGCAGAGACCAGCTTGCCACATGCATCAAGGACGTGTATGCGGAGTCTGGGGTTCCAGGTCTAGGAACAAAAAGTGGATCCTTGTCGCAGTAAGGACACCCGAACAGGTGTATATACCGGTCGGGTCCTGTTGATGTTGAGCCTAGTTTGAAACCTCACTCAGGCGACCCCCAACCAGCATCGGCCCTCTCTTGGACCTGGAGACCTTCTGGCAACTTATCCTGCACCCTGAGGCTTAATTTGCTTAATTCTCGAGACTGCTGTTTCTCCCCAGAAGGGCACCTACTGTCACGGGGAGTGCGAAAGACAATGTCCTAATCCCGGGCCCAGCAAACAAGGCCAAATGTCCCTTGCAGCCAGTGCAGTCTCGAATAGTGCAACAAACACGAGGTCAATCCAGCACTTCTGGCGCACCAATTTCTAAAATCTCTGCTTTGAAGTGTTCCGAAGCTGAGGGTCTCAGTTGAACTAAAAGAAACATGGCGATGGCACCGGTTCGCGTTCGACCTGGTACGCTTGTCGTTCGGAAAACCTCAAGTGACTGCTCCCACAACCGCAGCAGGTAGTTAAGCTTTCCTCGAGAGCCGAGTGACGAATCAAGATTCATGCAAAATGTTACATGCTCATGTCAACATGATGCAGAAAAAATCCTGCCCGTCCAAGAGCCCGCCCGCACTCCCGGAATGCGGTCCTCACCCTCCTGGTTTCGCATCTCCCTCATCATGGCCTGATAGGGTTCTCGATGTAGGTTTTGAGATTACTTGGGCCTGCCTTATGTGGATGTCTCCAGCTTCAACGTCGATTGTGGGGTTTGGCAGGGCTTCCCACGGCTAGCGGCTGGGGTCGAGGGCCCAGGAGTTCGGGGACAAACCTTCTTGTAAAGGAAAGCGTTGTCGCAATTTACTAAAGCAGCAAAGTTTGTGGGCCGGGACTTTGTGTTTGGATGCCATGTGGGAAGACGCCTGAGCAAAGTTCAGGGTTTTGTCTTTGGCTGCATGCAGGAGGGAGTCACAAGGGTGTGTGGGCCTGCATCTAGGTAGACTTTAATGAGCCTGGAGTTAGGACAGTTACGAGCCATACACTTTGGGCTGGCAGGATACCGAAAAACTCCAAGGCAACTCAAACTCTCCTGTCCTATTAGTGGCCCGCCAGAGGCTGATGGCCATGCTGGTTCGCTCTGCTGAGGAGCTCTATGCACTAGTACCCGAACCTTGGAAGCAACTCCGGAAAACTCTCCAATGCAAGCCAGAAGCCATGGCTTCGTCCATGACGGTCCAGTTATCTGTCACTTGCTGGTTCGACTGCTCGGTAAAAGCCTGAGCTTTGCAGCTTGACGCTGCCATGTGGAGGCATTTGCGGATGTGCCCGCTAGCTACAGCATCAGCTGTTGTTGCTGTACCAGTGCCTGTGCTGATGACGACGGCCATTTCCCTTTCCTTGCTGATACTGCTGTTGCTGCTCTCATGTTCTCATTTCGGTATTGCTTTTCTTTCGTCGTGCTACATGGGGGGTAGGGTAGGTGGTGACATCTGCAAATTTCTCCGCCTGGCTGGGACGGACACCTTCTCGATGTTCCAAATTATTGCAGAATAGCTACTACTGTAGCAGTTCTTTTCTTGCCGTTCACATTTATGACAGTGCATGCGCTGAACGTGCACGCTAACCGCACCGTGGCCATCAGTAGCGTGCTGGCTGGGCCGCAGACCCCAGGGGCATCCTCTAGCTGCTTCATCCGAGACATGGTGTCCTCGTAAATATGTCGAGTCAAGGCAACGAAAGCAACACGGCTTCTGAAGCCCACATGTCCTGGTAGCCCATCACTGCCCGCGCCATGGCCTCCCCTGGTGCATCCTTGCGGCTTTCTCGCGGCATGCCGTTCGGACTCACGGCAAATATCGGTGCGATATGTCCCGAAACGTGCCATTCCTGTAAAATGAAGCACCATGAGAACCCCTCAGCCCAAAAGTCTGCCCTGCAGAGTGGAAAAGGCATGGGGACAGTGGGATTCGAGGGTCTCCTGGGCAGTAGCAAAGAGCTCTGCTGCTCGCTCGTTGTGGGGCCTCGGCTCACAGCATATGTTAATAAGGCATATAATTATCATGTGCAGATGAGAACAAGACATCGATGGTTGCGTGAAATCTTGAAAACGACGAAGACAGAAGATACTTATGTTCATAGCAGTGTCAGTGGCGACGGTGATGATGAAGTTGATGAGGAGTGATGATGCTGATGTGAGTCGGACTATTGCTGTTTCTGTGGCCACGGCCTTATGTAACCTTACTGTGAAGCCCAAAACCTGCCTCAAACTTGAAGGTGCCGCTGAAAATGCGGCACCCGGTCTTCAAACAAGAAAGACCTAGAAAGAGATGCTTGACTTGGGCGTTTCATGTTCTCTTCGTTACATTGTGGACAAATCAGTCTCCGAACCTGACACTCAAAATCCTAACTCCTGAATCCTCTAACACTAACTCTGCAAGGCGGAGCTCCGGCCCAGGTCAGGCTCGCCCTCAAGGCACAGCGCATGGGCCAAAGTCTGCAAGGCCCCGCCCAGCCCATATGCTCCCTCCTTCAGGCATGTGGCATCTGGGTAGGCTGGAAGTCGGAAAAGTTGACGCTGAGGCTGAGGCTGTTGCAGCAGCAGCGGCAGAACAGACTTTGCTTTGGTTCCCGCATGGCAGAATCGGAATAGACTTAGCTCTTGCAGCATTAACATTAAACTTTATCAGAAGCAGCAGCACCACCACCACCACCACCACCAGCAGACAGCAGTATTAGCACGTTTCCCCTGGTCCGTTTAGTGCGGTTGTAACTTCCGGCATTCCGACGGCTTCAGCCTGCAGGGCTTTGTGCACTTCGGTGCCAAGTGAGAATGGTCGTTCTGCCCTCGCGCCCCTCCTGCAACATGCGTAGTTAGAACTAGGCGGCATTCTCCGTTTGTTCCGGTCTCGTTGAAGGGACCACAAGCCGTCAACCTTTGCAGCATCCCGTCGTCCTTTGGGGTCATCGTGGCCTGCGCCGATTCCAGGTGCGGCAGTTGAGGCTTTCGGGGGTTTATGGAGCCCTAGGTCCCGAGGCCACTTCCCGCGAAGCCTCTGCGGTTTAGCTGATGGAATAACGACTTACGATCAGTGGTTGCAGTGCATTCGGTTAGAGTCGGGATAGCTCTAAGTGAGCGCTCTCTTGGGTGGCCTTCACTAACTATAAGCCTTGCGACTCAGCAGTTGGGAATGTCGACAAGATTCATGGCATTCTGGGTTTTCGGCTGCCAGCCGGACTCTCAGACACATGCTGCCCTCCTGGGAGGCACCATGTGTTGGGGGATATTCCCTCGCCATCAGCACCTACAAGATCAGCCGCAGAGCAACTGCAAGGCGAGGACATTTTTCAAAATTGCAACCTCCTGTGTCCCTTGAAGCTCGGGTATCCACAGAAGCTGAGATGCAAAACCTCCACTTCTGCAACAGCCTCCTGCCAAAGCTGAACCCGAAGCAGTGCCATTTTCAGTGTACATGTAAGGCTAATCTAGAGCATGCTGGTGAAAACTGGGTCACAGCTCATTGCCCGTCAAAAGCTCTAAACTGTAGGCACCAGATCCAACAGCCCAGTCTATGCTCACAGGACCAGAGCGCTTCGGAGCGCAAGGGACCGGATGCTGAGGCCCAACGCCCCAAAAACCCTAAAACCCCTGATTCTAACAAAAAAGCACCTTGGAGCTGCTAATGTTGACCTCGTGTGTAGAATGCCCCCGTAATTGAAGAAATCCAAGGAGGATCAAAGGGCTAAATTTGTCAAGACTGGCGCCAGGCAGATGGTAAACCTATGGCCTATGGATGTAGTGATATTACCACATCGTGTAGTATAGTGTAGAATGAATCGTGTAGAAATCGTTACACTCAGCCCGCAGATACTGCTACTGCTGCTCCGGAAAACTCCCCTCAAGCGCTCTCTGCCGTGCCTGCTCATAGTACTTGATCGCCTCCTGTGCCGCCTCCTGGGCTTCCTGGCGCAAGGCCCAGAGCTTCAGAGCATCTCCAAACTTCTCACGGCCAAAAACTCGCCACCACAGATGGCTCCTGGCCCTTCCGCAACGGTATCTTACAAGAAGCCCCTGTGCGCCCTTGGCCGCCAAGTCTTCCCAAGCCCCAAGGGCAGCTAACACCCCGATGCCTTGAGCTCTCCAACAGACAAGTGCACCTGGCATGCCCACACATGTCCTCTTTCGGGCACCTACATAGTAGCTTGGGATGCGCAGGTCAACGAATCACACGCGCAGATTCTTAACGGCGTCTGTGGACTCTAGGGATGCTGGCGTCCAATTTACACGGAGGCTTGTGTCCCAAAGACTGTAACAGAGGCGTTGGTCTAGCGATCTAGGCAGAAAAGTCTCTGAGCAGTATCGGCCTTACCATTGCCAGCAGGTGATGGGTTGGAAGTTTTAGGATCACAGCTGATTTTACCCTCCCACCTAGCCGCCTGTGCAGAGCTTGTTTCGGGCTGAGGATTTGAGCCAAGTGAACAAACCTGGTCTGGATTGCGTGCCTGTAAATGAAGTCTTAACTGGTGTCAATTTTGGAAACGAAACAGTCCGCGAGGCTCCCTCCCAATGTCCTCAACCGAACTGCCAAAACAAACACGCGACGCCCCAAGCCCTGAAGTTCCCGAAGAACCGAGTTGCACTGACTGCCTTAGCTTGGGCATGCAGGGCATCGGCGATGGCCTCGCATAGGCTCAGGCTTTTCTGTTTAGACCAGGTGAATTGCCCTGAATGCACAGACTAAGCCGTCAGATGATGCTTCATGGCCACAGTCGCCGTCGTCGTCGTCATCACCACCATCACCATCACCACCATCATCACCATCACCTGCACCACGACCTATGTTCAAACCGCTGAAAATCTAGTGAGCCGCCTTCTGAACCCGTGTCTAGAGTCTAAGTCAAGAGCCAAGGCCCTCGGCCCAAAAACACCTCAACTCCGCACAAAGCCCCAAGAGCTGAGCCTTCTTATCCTCCTCCTCGGGACTGATCTCATTGCCCCGGAACCTCCAGCAAAGGAGCTTGCAGCAAGGAGAGGGCTTCGCTCATTTCGTCTTCATCCGACTCCCGTCCCCGCAAGCTTTCGAAGGTTTTGGCAACCTGCCCTGGGTCCGCCTCAAGCCTCAAGTCACGCATAACATCCCTTCTGTGGTGCTTGGCTTAAAGGGTAGGTACGGGCCTGAGGGAAGCGAAGGCACATGGTTTAATGAAAGTGGCTTCGGCTTGGCTAATTGGGCCGCAGAGCCCATCAGGTTTGTGTTCTCAGGGACAGGGTTGAGGAAGCGCTTTAGAGTCTATGCATGCCGTTGCGGTTCTGAGGTTCGGACAGGGACTGACTACTAGGCTACTGGATAAGTACTTGGTCCACTGCACGATAGTCTACCCAGCCGGTCAATGCAGCGATGACAGGAAACAATGAGAGTAAGCTTGGAATGGCGACCAGCAACAAAGGCGACGGTGGGATTTCGGAGGGGCACTGGAGCTTATGGCTTTCCTGCCGGCTCTCCGATTCAAGAAGTGTCCTGAAAATACGGAGGTTACTGTGAATGAGAACAACGGCAGTACGGACAGCGGCAACATCATGAAAACCAAGAACACTAATTCAATTCGGAGCCGTACTATGCAACCAGGGAGCAGCCAAATGACATCCTTCGCAGCGAAGAGAGCATCGACAAAGTCCGCTTCATGAAGCCTGCAGACAGCGCAGGCCTGCTTCTGGGAGAAGAAGTTCAAGAACTTCGCTGCATATGCACAACTAGTAAGCTTCGACTCGCAAAGGAGCACGGTCGTGAGTTTCCCTAGCAGCCCCTGCATTGGCAAGAACTCTAAGCATCGAACATTATGATGAACTTACGGTTGCTGTTATGTTTGCTCCGGTGGTGCTGATGGTGATGGTGGTGATGGTGGTAAGGATTTTTAATGATGATGGTGATGATGATGATGAAGAACATGGTGCGGGTGGTCACTTTTTGGAAGGTCATGATTCGATAAGGTGGTGGTCATGGTGGCAAAGGTGCTGAACAATGACTGTATCTGGTAGTTACGGGTGGTTTCACTATTTGCTTGCAAGCGGCATGTTGGCGCTCAAGATAACGTTCAGGGAGCGTGCCTGCCATGGAACAAACCGATCTGGCAACGCTTGTAGCACCCGGGCTGCCGCATCTGCCGCAAAGCCCACGACAGAATGGGAACACATCGTTCGTGTTTGAGGAGGTTTCAAACGGCTTTATATGACATGGCTGATCGTCATCAGGCCATGCATGATGCGGTAACTCATTCCAAGCATGCCTAGGCCGTCAGCTCAATTTAGAAGGAACCCAACAGACCCAGAGTTTCTTCTCGCCTCCGAAAAGCCTTCGACGCACAACTTGGGAGATGTCAGCAGAGCGCTCAAGAAAGGGGACTTCGGCTTCAGTTTTGTGAGTTACAGCTCGAATAAGCAGTAAGACAAAGTGTTCTCACCTAAACCTGTACCGGAAATTTAACTCCCTCGACTAAGCTCCAGCCAACCTGAAGCTATGAACCCGAAGCCCAGGCAACCCTTCGGGAAGCCCGTGCCTAGAAACTATGCAACGCTTGAAAATTAAGAGCTCGAACGCAATTCTCAAGAGAAAACGAGCACCAAGCGTGGCCTCTCCGGCAGCATCCTCCAGATCCTGTGCTGCGGGCTCAGGGCTTGGGTTTCAAGGTTTCAAGGACTCGGAGTCCGGGGTTTCCGGCTCTTCTCGCTGTTCGGCCAGGAAATGCGCTGGCGACGTGTTTGTGGGCAACAGACGAAAGCAAGCGAACAAATATCTGTGATACTGCGAACCGGGCGAACCGGGCTAATCCCGGTTGGCACCGACCCGTCCTGGAAAATGTCGCGGGACTCCCGAGCGACGTTCTTCGCCTCGTCGACATCGTCTTTCGCGAGGAGCAGCTCCCCAACCTCTTGTCCCAACTTGACAGCTTAAGGCTTAAGATGCTTAAGGGTTTGGGATTTAACGGGACAGGGCCGGCAAAAACCCAAATGAGCAAGAAGCAGTAAAGGGTACACCGGCCCAGCCTCCGCGTTGTCCCTTGGTACCTATTGCTCCTTTTCACCCCAGGCAGAACTCTCAAGGAGCTTCCTCTGTGGCGTAGTGAACTACAAGGGCCCTTGCAAAATCTAGAACAAGCTCGGGGTTAACAGGACTAAACCGAATCCACAGGTCTGAGGGACCGGCCAAATTCAGGCAGTTTGCTTCCTGCAGCCGATCATCCAGGTCGTTGTAGATGCAGCCTCAGGCGACCCGGTGGATGATGTAGAAAAGATCCTCCATGATGCACAGTATTTGATGTGTAATATCTGATATAGAATGGGTCCCTTATCCAAAGCGGAAGTTTGAAGCTGCCTGGATCTTCGTTTTCGCTAAGGCCGTTTCGATGTCTTTCGCTGCGGGTTGCTGCAAGTTGAGGTACGGTCGAGTGTAACTTTTGACGTCTCGCTGAAATTCAGTGGATTGTTCTGCAAGCACCTCATCTGCAGCTCTGCTGCTCAGCATAGACAGGGAGAGGGCCTGAGATACTGCTCCTCGTCGGCCTCTTGCGAGGAGCGCACAACCTGCCCGTCCTGAGCTGCAGTGCCCAGCCGGGTGGAGCAGTTGATTACGATGATTACGGCGTGGGCCCTTTCAGAGTCGGTCTCCAGAAAGAGCTAATCAACATCAATGTGCCCGTGCAGCAAGCTGCAAGGCAACTGTCCGTGCAACTGCAAGGCGCAAAGGGGTGGTACTGAAATTGCTACCCTGCTCATTGTCAGTCTCGGCCTTTAGCAAAAAATGCGCAACCTCCAACTATCCTTCCTGTGTGGCAACGAACGAAGGCATGGCGCCATTCTTTGCTGTCTCATCGTTGTCCTGTGACTGCGACAAAAGGCGCGCAACCTCCAGGTGCCCGATCTCTGATGCCACGAACAGAGGGGTGGTGCCGTCATGCATGGCCTTGTCCTTGTCTGCATTGGCCTCCAGCAAAACGCGTGCAATCTCCAAGTGCCCATTCGCGGCTGCCACGCACAGAGGGGTGGCGCCTTTATGCGTGGCCTTGTCCTTATCTGCATTGGCCTTCAGCAGAAGGCGTGCAATCTCCAAGTGCCCTTTCTCGGCTGCTATGAATAGTGGAGTGGCATTGCAATCCATGGCCTTGTCCTTGTCGGCGTTGGCCTCGAGCAAAAGGCATGCAACCTCGAAGTGCCCATTCTCGGCTGCCATGAGCAGTGGGGTGGCGCCGTCATGCCTGGCCTTGTCCTTGTCTGCATTGGCCTCCAGCAAAAGGCGCGCAACTTCCAGGTGCCCGATCCCTACTGCCACGAACAGAGGAGTGGCGCCGTCATCTGTGGCCTTGTTCTCGTCTACATTGGCCCCCATCAAAAGGCGTGCAATCTCCAAGTGCCCGTTGTGGGCTGCAACGTACAATGGGGTGGCGCCGTCATGCGTGGCCTTGTCCTTGTCTGCATTTGCCCCCATCAAAAGGCGTGCAATCTCCAAGTGCCCGTTGTGCGCTGCCATGAGCAGTGGGGTTGCGCCGTCATGCGCGGCCTTGTCCTTGTCTGCATTGGCCTCCAGCAAAAGGCGTGCATTCTCCAAGTGCCCTTTCTCGGCTGCCATGAGCAGTGGGGTGGCGCCGTCATCCGTGGCCTTGTCCTTGTCTGCATTGGCCTGCAGCAAGAGCGTGCACTCTCCAAGTGCCCATTCGTGGCTGCCAAGAACAGAGGGGTGGCGCCGTCATGCATGGCCTGGTCCTTGTCTGCATTGGCCTCCAGCCCAGCAAAAGTCGTGCATTCTCCAAGTGCCCAGTCGCGGCTGCCATGAGCAGTGGGGTGGCGACGTCATGCCTGGCCTTATCCTTGTCTGCATTGGCCTCCAGCAAAAGTCGCGCAACCTCCAGGTGCCCGGAGTGGCAAGCTTCGAGCAGCGGTGCCGGATCACCTAGATTTGGGTCTTGTGGCTTGCGCAGAATTGTCTCCACGACCGATGTCAGGCCTCTTTCTGCAGCACGTCGAAGATCTTGAATTTGCGCTTCGGATGCTGAACTGAAATTCACAAGCACGAGCTGAACATCGCCGGGTTTCAAGCTGTGTTCGTCATTGTCATTCAGTGTGGCGCCTTCATCTAAGAACACCAGCCGCCAGCCGTTGCCTGAATCTTGGCTGCCCGCACAAGTTGTGCAAGTGCTGCTTCAGCGCCAGGACGGGATGGTTTTCTGCTGGGAGCGTGCCCAGAAAAATCTCCAGCTCAATGCTGACAAGGATCTCCCCGGATACTGAACGGACGCGTAACATCTGCAGCCCCAGGGGTTTATGATGGTATAAATATGGTGAGGAGCCCTAAGAAATAGTACATGGTACTAAGTATTCAGACCCCTATAGTAGGAGTTTGCCACACTTGGAGGATCATGGGACTTAGTAAGTAAGGTTATAGATCAGGTAAGTACACTTATAATGATTTGTCATAACTCCACTTAAGGTACCTATAACCTACCTTCCCAGAGAACCCACTACTCCTTAATTAAGGAATCTGCCTTAAACCATATTGAGGTATATATTCCTTAATTAAGGGGTATTGGGTTCTCTGGGTCTAGGCCCTAAACCCTAGACCCCTAAACCCTGAACCCTAAACCCTGGGTTACTAAGTCCTATGACCCTCCAATAGGAGTTTGCCCTAGCAGCACTTGGAGGTTCGCGGCTAGTTTTAAGTGGGGTTATAAGTAGGGTAACTATTGTTATAAGCCAAATTAGGGAACTTATAACCCCACTTATAACTACCCATGAACCTCCAAGTACGTGGCATCCTGAGTCTCTGGGCGCCAGGCTGGAGCCTTGTCACACGACACAGACGAAAACCCTCCTGCTAGGCACCAAAAGAAACCCTAAAGCCCTCGGCTTAGGGTTTAGGGTTTAGGGCCTCACAGTTTCAGCACTCACTCTCGGATGAACTTCAACGCACCCAATGCTACACAACTCACTACCCGCGGGTTACAGGGCCTCACAGTTTAGGGGTTTGGGGTTTAGGGGTTTACGGTTTAGGGTAGGGTTATAAAGACCGTAAAGCCCTCATCGAACTCTCTGGTTGCATCCGTGTTGCGAAACTTTGCGAAGCCAAGATCGACCCTAAGCTACCCAAGAGTCCTCTCGCCCGCCCGAAACCGAGAACCAACAACCCCAAACCCAAATCCAATTCGAGAACCCTAAACCTTGAAGCCTTAAACTCCAGCCGAGGGAGCAAGCATCGCGTGCCGCAGCGATTGCAGCTTTTGCCTCGCCTTCACAGAAAAAGGCCGAAGCCTCAAAGAACCCGGCGCTCACTCTCGGAAGTGCCAGGTGCGAAGTCGGTGATTGAGTTTCGACTCTCAAGGCTCGGCACTCGCTACAGCCAAAGTGCCGCCAACTACTTCAAAACATGTCAAGACTGCTCCCATGTGAGCCACATAATCACGAAGCTTGATGGTAGACATGGAAAACCCATATTCATAGAAACAAACATGGACGTATATCTTTTTATATACATAGAGATTGCCTGAAAGACTGCTCACGCAGATTGGCCTTGGCATCGAGCCACTCAGGTACGGTCGGGGTGCTTTTGCTAGATAAACCATGAAAGATAAGATGAAAGAGGTAAAAAGCCCCATAACTCAAATCTGACAGAAGCCCTCGCATTCCTCTCCGTTGTCGCCGTCAACTCTCGCCACAACTCTCAGTACGACTCCGACTCGACCAGTGAGCAACATGCTGCAATCATCACGAGCTCCACTCCAGGACTCCAGGAATTCCCAAATTCAGCAAGCGCGGCATAGCAATGCACATATGCAGCCATGGTAGTCAACTCATAGGTGGGTTCATGCAGTGTGGATTCATGCAGTCACCATCTCAAGCTCCTACATGCAACACGCGATCAAATTCGTTAAGCCCATGCTCTCATTATCGCAACACTGTCGGCTCCGGTGTGCTCTGATGCCTCATAGGATCGTGGCTCGCATGTCTCCGTATCGCGATGGCTCACGGCAGCCGTGAAGTACTAAGGCTTCAGACCCTGACATCCTGATCCAGCGGAGTCTTGTCTGGATGCCATCTGCGACACGCTGCCATGCCTCTTCGAGGTTGCGTGGCGTGCGCTTGAGCAGGACCTGCCATTTGCCTTGTGCTCCTCCTTCTCTTGCCGATCTTCCTTCTCCTCTGATGCGGGACACCTGCCCAAGCGCGCTGATTCTCGCGACATGTGTTGCCGCTCGTGCGACCCAAGGCCAGGTGATCGCGATGCCCTGCTGTGCGGTCTTGGCCTCGTTGGCCAGCTCATGGTCTTTTGCCATGTAGACCTGGTTCAGCGTCGCCACATTTTGGCGAGAGACTTGCATCGCCTCCGCCGTATCGCGATGGCCCCGGACTCGTCGCAGTGTTTGCTGTATCGCCGTCGAAGCAACCACACGATAGTGGCTCAGCAGCACAATGTTTGTTTCTACATCAACCATCTCAGTACCAACTGCAACCTGACACGAGAAGGGCTTCGGGTTTAGGGAAAGACACTGCCTGTAGGCACTGTCTAGACTCTATAACCCTCTGCAGCTCAAACTCAAAGTCCTGTTCCTTTGCTCCAAAACAATCTGACCTCTTCCGGACTCGACGTGCGGCATCTTGTTTGATTTCAAGCCAGGACTGCCCCGTCCCCAGGGCCTTCCTGCCGGGCTTTGACTAGCTTGCTCTTCTCCTCTTTCTCCTGCGCCATACTCTTAACCCGACAACCACAAGAACCTACAGTAAGGTCTGATCGGTTGAAGACGATGAGCTCAGGGATTTCCCTAGAGGCCCTAGATATGGGTACTGTGCTTTAAACCGCGTTGCGTGGATTTCGCGCTGGCTGGTGAGCTTAGGCTCCTCGTTATGTCGTTCAGGGCGAATTGACCCAGCAAAGTACTCGGTTGAAGGGTGGGGCCACGGCCCGACGCCTCAGAGCTTCATCAACGTCCCATCAGACTAGCCACACCATGCGAGGTGAGACTAGCGCAATTAAACCGCAGAATATAACTCTTTCAGGATCCATCGAATGAGTGCCAGATTCGGAACCCACGAACTCCGAATCCTTCAGGCCACACCCGTTGCATCCCCCCAAATTCAATCACACGTCCTCCACTAGCTGCAGCCTCGGCAGGAACAGATGCGACGTGGACCAAATCCCTCTCCGTCTCTGTCTCTCTCGCTCTCTCTCGCTTCTTCCCCAGCGCATGAGGGGTCTGTTAAAACCCCCCGGCCAGTTGGCCCCCCAATTGTTATTGGGGCTTTCGGAGGGTGTGAGAAGTGTTGTTGCAGTACTGACTTCAAATTTGTAGCCAGCAACTGAGGCAGTGCTTTTGGGGGCAACCGACTATAAGGTGGTAGCATTTGAAAGATATATTCCCCCTCGTTGCACTGATTCAGTTCATGTTGGGACACCACGACATCTTTGCGGGTTTGCTTGCTTAGAAAGCTCTCGCTCTCTCTCTCTCTCTCTCTGTCTCTCTCTCTCTCTTTCTTTCGCCAGGGGCAGGGTGAGAGGGAAGATCCCTCCCACTAGCGCCCTCTTGCTTGCTTGCTTGCTTGGGGTTTCGTCCCAAGGCTCGCGTCTGTGCGTGGGGGAGTGCAGAACTCTCTCTCTCGTTCTCTCTCTCTCTCTCTCTCTCTCGCTCGCTCTCTCTGTCTTTTTATATGTACATGAGAATATATTTTTTCACACACGTATACAAATATTTTTTGGCACTCGCACTCGACGAAGTCAGGCGAGGTATACGGCAATAACTAGCAGATCTCCAAGGATTCGTTCAAGCCTCTAGACAAACAGCCACACGTCTCTACACCGCATGATACTTCATGGTACTGTGGGCTGATACTATGAATATATACCTATGTGTGCTTGTGTACGTATGTATGTATATATATATATACACATATACATATACAAACTACATATATGTGTGTGCGCATGCATGCATGTATGCATGCATGTATGTCTGTCTGTATGTCTGTTTGTCTGTTTGCATGCCAGCATGCATGCATATATGTATGTATGAATGTAATGTAATGTTATGTTATGTTATGTTACGTTATGTTATGTCATGTAATTTAAATATAATGTAAATGAGATGAAATGAAATGACATATGACATGGAATGAAATGAAATGACACGTAATGAAACATAATGTAATGAAATGTAATGTAATGAATTGTGATGAAAGGAAAGGTAATGTAATGTAATGTAATGTACTGTACGTATGTATGTATGGATGGATGTATGGATGGATGTATGTATGGATGTATGTATGTATGTATGGTCGGCAGGTAGGTAGGTAGGTAGGCAGGCAGGCAGGCAGGCAGGCAAACATGGGATTACTGTATACCCCTACATGTGCAAGTTGTGCCTGCGTGCTTCACTGAGAGTTTCGACACTCACGTTCGCACACAGCAGGCAAGGCTCCACTTGGTGAGAGTTTCGACTCTCAGGGTCCGAGGTTTATTGCACCCTCACCTTGCAGCAGTCCATGCATCATTAAAAACTCTGTGGTGCCCCGATAGAAAATCTAGTTATGATTTACCAGATCCCTCTGTTCTCCCATCTACCCCACAGCTAGCCCTGAGTAAGGCCCGAAACGCCAAAAGAAAGGCTAAAGCTTCCATCCCAGCGACTGTGGGGAGACGCCGGCGCAAGCACGGCGCAACCTTGCTCCCGCGGCCGCGCTGAGTGCAGCTGCCTCACCGGCCCTCAGAAACGGAGGAGCTTCGAGGTTTCGGGTTTGGTGTTGGTAAAGAGTCGGACTGGAGTCTGGGACATGACAAAACGTGTCAGTGCAAGTGCTGCATGGGGCTCTGTGGAAAAAGGCCTTGGTTGTGATCTCATCTCAAGTTAGTGTCAAGCCCCGCGTCTCAGTCTCTACCTGCCCAAAAACCTTGAACGGGAAAGGGCGATTTAGGCTCTCGGCTTGTCTTTCTGCTTCTTGAAGGAGTCTTGGCTGACGGAAGCGTGGTCCAACGCTCTTCTGGTGTCCTGAGTCGAATAGCCAGGGGGATGTCATGCCCCGCGCACTACGGCCGCTGCTACTGTTGATGCTGCTACTGCTACTGCTAAAAAGCCACCACCACCACCATCACCACCACGAATTACAGGCACCATTTACAACGACAGCCGCTGCATTCCTTTTACCGATACTGTTTCTAGCTATACCGGCGTGCAAGCTGCCCTATCCCTACAATGCCATCTTCGTGTCCTTGGACCATGAATCTGCAGCCTACAACATGCAAAACAGTGTGGTTCTGCTGCTGTTGGGATGCTATCATATCACCCATTGGCGAAATCGCATCCTATGCTTTGCCGTGCAAGAATTGCAATGCTTAGCTGTGCCTTCAAGGCTTTGTAGGCTCGTGAGCTTCATGCTTTTTGGGTGTAAGGATCGGCCAGCTCGATGTAGGCGTAAACCGCCAAGAGGTGGGCATAGGCCTGGTGGTACGCGAGCAGATTTCGGCATATATCTAATCAAGCCTAATCATAGTCGCCCAGGCTGTCCGACGATGTTTTTTGCGGGGCTTCAGTGCCAAGCACTCTTGCTAAGCACGAGCCGATCCCACCTCGCCAGTGGCGTTGCCAGCCGAGGTCATGTGTGGAAGCCTCATGGGCTTCCCAGGGAAAAGTGCAAATTGACTCGGAACGATAGTGGCTACAACCAGCACGAATCCCAGTGCTGGATAAACTGAATAATTAGGATTGTCAGGAAGGCCGTACAAAGGAGAGTGTGAGAAGCAGAGCAGCAAACTGCAAGGTATAATCGCCAGCCTCCCAGATGCCAAGCAAAGTACGACATTGCACAGTCTACATCGCAACGTGACTGCGAAAACTTGATTAGCACTGCACCGGCTTTTAAATGCTTGTACACACAGACCCCGAGCTTGCTGAGCCCTCCATTCGCCAGCAACGTCGCGGCCGCGTGGCGACTCCCGTGCCACCCAGGCAGCGCGCCCGGCGGCGTCCTTGTCGTTAGAAGAGTTTCGACTCCCACAGCACAACCGGGGCGAGGCCTTTGAAGAATGAGACGAGTAGACCTTGACATGCGCACCTCAGTTTCAGTGGCTCTCGCATACCTGAATTCGACAATGATTCTTTCGACATCACCATCTGCGGTGGCTTGTCCCTCAGGCCGCTATCCCAAATCAACCCAGACCCTGGCTTAGATGAGTCGGACTTCAGGCATTCAGGTGACTTGCTTTCGTACAGGCTTGGATTGAATTCGTGTAGAGGTATCTGATTGTCTGGGCTGGCTGACTGCAATGCACACAAGAACATGCGCGTACGTGTTTGGCCCCAGTACCCTTTCGTCGCCTCCCACGCCCAAGAAGTGCTAAGAGGCAACCTTGCATGTGGGCTTGAAAAAAAGCGAGAGATGTTTGTGGATAGCAGAACCAGCTTTTGCAAGAACAAGAATCAGAAGCGAGGTTCGAGATTCTAAAGCATCAAGGAACCCCACGAATCCGGAAATTCAACCTGGACTTCAGCATGTCGATTGGAGACTCTGGTCCTTGCCCATGTGGACGGCATTCAGGGGAATGATGGGGTTGAAGCGAAACCTGGATGCTTGCCCGACGCATCAAAGGAGCAACTTGTGCCCGAGATCGGAGTTTGAGCGGCCGTTTGGGACCTGGGGATTTTTTTAAGGTCCCTTTGCTAACACAAGTCGTAGCTCTGGGGGCACTCATTTGAGGGTTTCCGCCAAAGTTCCAGAATTAAGGATCCACCTACACAACATCGGTAGCTATGGGTCCATGTCAGGGTCCAGAACCCTTTCTGCCATACTCGGACGCTGCTCCCAGCCCCAAGGCTAAACTCCACCCATGCAATCTGAGCGAAGGCTTCATGCACAGCCTAGCGCAACGGACCGGATCTGGGTCCTGCAGAAACATCATGTAACACGTGTCCGACAACCCCTCCAGCCAAGAGGAGAGCCACGCACACACGCAAGCCCAAGTTGCTTCAGTGCTTGATTTGCGAGCCTGCATTGTAGCGACCATAGTAGCAGGTGTAGTAGCAGCGTCAGTGCTGGTAGAGCGGTGGCAAGTAGCAACAGTAGTGTCGACTACTGCGACTACGACTACTGCTACTACTGCTACGACGACCGCGACGACGCGTTTTCTACGACTACTGCTGCCAACATTACTAGACTCACCCAGCCTAAGACTGAAGCACGGCCGGGCGGCGTGGCTTCGGTGCGCCTTCGGGCCACCGCAGCTAAAGTCTGCACTGTGGGTGCCAGAGCCGCGTCTCCTAAGGGCTTTCAACTATCGGTGCCGCTCTGCGCCTGCTACCGCAATGGAAACAGCTATTTGTAGTCGTCGTGGTTGTAGTCGCGAATGTAGCAGTGGTGGAGAAGCAGTGGTGACAGCAGCAGCAGCAGCCGTCGTCGTGGTCGTCGTGCTAGTGGTGGTGGTGCTGCTGATGCTGCTGCTGCTTTTGGACTTCGACCTAGCACTTTTCGAGCATGTCCGTTCGGTAGCACTGCAACAACTGAGAGGCCGGGCGAGGGGAGGGACATTCATACGCAGAGCTATGCAACCTCGGTTTCAACTGCAAGCCTCATTCAGCACAGTCCTTGGCCATTAGCAAGCGAGGTCTGGATAGGCTTCAGCACCTGGTCCACATCCTTCAGGGCAAGCAGTGGGGCTTCCATCTGCGGCGATATCCGCAAATGAAGCTTTTGGTCAGGGCCAGCTTATCGCAAGACTTATCTCAAACACAGCAATCCTGCCCCTTTTGCTCCTAAACTCCACCATGACAGGGATCGCTTCTTTTGGCACTGACGTTCCGGATTTTATGTTCGTGGATCTCCAATGTAGGCCTGTCATGGTCGGATCCAACAGCGTTGTCTGGACTGCATTAATCATTAATCTTCACTTCCGACAGAGACATCCAGAGCGGGAGGGGTGCCTGAACTCCCTGTGAAAAAGCATTATGAATCATTATGAAGTTATACAGTGGTGCGGCTAGTACGAAAACACAACCCAAAAACTTTTTCAACAAGCACTATATATCCCAGGAACAAGCATTCTACATGCCGTTCTCCAAAGTCTCAGAAGGACCCTTTTGAAACCGGACTTGATGACTGCCAGCACTGCCTCCTCTGCCGTTCAAACCCTAAACCCGAAACCCTGGATGCTTTCCGCCTTGGCATCGCCCGACAACTCAGCGGCCAGGTTAGCGGCTACGCGGGCGATGTGCAGCTTCTTGTCGCTGGTGGCCTCCAAGAGATCAGGATTTGCTGCCAGCGGTTACAGGGTATAGGGTCTAGGGTTTCGACACTCACACTCGCGCACAGCAGGCAGGGCTCCACATGGTTCGGTCTCCACTCAAGTGACTGGGACTCGCGCAGTACAACCCAACAAACAAAGATTTAGCACATAAGATTCAACAGATAAGTACCAAAGGCTAGCATGCAGCGAGTCCAGTCCGCGACTTCGTTCTTGCGAAGACATTGCTCCGGCTCTGTTTCAAAATGTCCTTCACTCTCAGACTCAAAGACATCGTGTTGCCGATCCCATTGTCCTAGTGAATTCCGAGTCATAGTTCAGCAACTCCCTCGCAGGGCTTGTTCACTTAACATCGCACAGCTGACTCTGTCACCACGCAGAGTATGCAGAGTCGTCTCAAAGGTTGAGCTATGCCCAGCCTCTCCCATTACGTCTGCGAGGGCGAGACCTCGCAGGCCAGGAGGACGTAGTACTTATATAGCTGACTTAACTCGGACTTTACGTTCAACTTTCGAGGTTCGCTGCACTTTATTTCTAGGTGATACCAGTGTCCTTCTGCTCGGGTCTGACGTGAAAATGCCCACAAGCTCTGCCAGTCGTCGGGCTGTGTAAGCATTCCGGAGCTCAGGTACCGAAGAAGACTGTGAGAAAGCTCAGCTAGACCAGGTGGCAACCGTGACATCTGCCGCAGTGGATAGTGATAGTGGATACCGGATATCTACGAATCGAGTTTCCTTGAGCCTTATGCGCTATACCCGAACATCCCCAGACGGACCTCGGGTGCCCAGACTCGGCGCGGAGTTGAGCCACCACGGCGAGTGGAAAGGTGCTCAAGTTGGATCTCCCAACCCGCTCGCTATCGCGCAGAAACCCCCACCCAAACGATCCAGGGTGCTTTGGACATGCTTGCCATGTCACTCTACTGTCATTGGCCTTGACTTTATCCCCGCGAAAACCTCAACCGGGCGCCCGTACTCTCCATCAACAACCTAAATCCCAAGCACACAGAGGACTCGTCAACATCTCCACCTGAACACCTCAAAGCCAGAAGCCCAACAACCCCTCCCCAAAGGTCAAGCCCTGGAAAGCCACTCACCTAGTGAATCGCAAGCAGTCACAAGCACTCGAAACAAAAAATAACCCTAAGCCTGTTGCTTTTTCTGGCGGATGCCATGGATATGCTCCTTAGATCCCATCGCCTGATGTGCAACATCCCTCGAAACGTTAATTACAGTAGATCTGAGAGGCCCGAAGAAGCGACCCCAGTCTTGGGCATCATAGCTAAACCACCAGGACCAGAGAATACCAAGAGCATTGATATCATCAGCACCATGACCACCACCACCGGTGTCACAAGTGTGACCGTCTCTTCCCCGTATCTCTGTCAGCAGCAGCAGCATCGTCACGGAGAGCAGCAATAGCAGCAGCGGCGGCGGCACCGGCAGCAGCGGCATTGAAACAAGAACAACAATAAGAACGACAACAACCACAACCAGAACCAGAACCACAACTACAACAACCACTACATCCATCACCACTGCAACAACAACGGCAACAACTACAACGCCGACGCCGCCGCCGACGACGACGACGACCACACCACCACCACAACCACCACCACCACCACCACCACCACCGCGACGGCCGCAATCGCGACCACAACGACAACCAGCAGCCGAACGTACTACAAGTAGCCACCAAAGGCTCGGGATCCAAGGGCAATGCACTTCTGGTCCGCGCAGCTTGCAGCCCGTCGCTGGGCAACATTGGCTATTGGGGACACAAGAGCTTGTTGGCTCACTTGGGGCTTGAAAGGCTTTCAGCCAATCAAGTGCAACAGCACACCGGGCTTATGCTCATGTTGGGGTCCTCTATCAGGCTTGGCTGTGGCTGTTCAGCCCCAAGATAATGGCTCAGTGTTTGCAGGTCGGGCTCCGGAGTTACGCGATGTCCCAGATCTTTGCCAAGCCGTCCTCCGAAGCCGAGGCAATTCCTTGGGCAAAGCAAAGAAGGATTCTAATCAACTCGGGCGTGTGGTTTTTGCGGTTGATGCACTCATGTACCACACGTCAAATACGAAGCTCTAATTGATGCGAGAACTTCGCGGTAAAGACAAACCATGGATGTTTTGGACGACAACCCGGAGTTTGCAACTAACTAGGTAGCGGCATCTAGACAACCTGAGGAGCAAGACGAATGGCACACCATACACATTAGATGCCCCTGCAGATGGCTCCGAAGACCCATCACTTCTGCTCAGACTATAATGAGGAAGAAGGCCACAACCCCGCGAACTGCAGCACTACACATTGCGATGGCCTGAGTTGCCATAGTCGGTATACCTTGACAATGGCGAATGCAGCAAGCTCATTCAGGACCACCCACCGCAACAACCACGAAAAAGGCCAAGCATGGGGTCTGGCTTACACGACAATTACTGTTTCTAAGCCCCGTATTGAGAATCCGGGGCCGATGAACCCAGCAGCATATGCAGTGACTACCATACTCCTCCAAACCACCCTCGACTCTTGAGCTTTTGCAGCAGGAAGGTCGCTTGCCTTTCGGCGCCCAGCGTACGCAGATGACCTGGTAGACGGTGGATACTACGGCTACTACGGGGTCAAATTCCGTGGCTTTAAGTGTTGAATCTGCCAAGGTTCTACTGGATTCATACTTTTCATCGTTTGCTGCGCTGAATTGGCTTGTCTGTGAGGTCGGGTTCTCAGCCTGGCTAAGTCTGGCTGTCTCAAGCTCCAGTGCTGCCACTGCGCGCGGCAAAGAGAATCACAGCAAGCCAAGCAGCAAATCCACCGAACAAACATGTGCATGTTTGCCAGCCGGACTGAAGGCGAATGCGAGAGGGTAGGAAAGCTGCTCTGCTTCGTCTGAAATCAACCTCCTTCCACCCCTGAATCTGCAAGTTCTCCGCTAGATGCCACCGGTGGTGCTCTGGACATCCATCACTGCCAAGAAACACCCGCAGCGTGACCGATGTGGACGGCCAGACATTGTGCCGCTCGCGCCTGGCCCAAGTCAGCTTGCGAATCCAGTCCAATCGGCTGCTGATCTGCTCACGTGGCGTAATTGTATGTAGAAACAGATATAGACATGGAAATAGATGAAGATGTAGACAAAGAACTAGACAGACACATAAATAAACATATAAACAAAAAATATATAAATATAAATATACACATAAATATAACTATAACTATAAATTTAACTATAAATGTATATATATATACATATATATATATATGTATGTATATGTATGTATATATATATATACAAATCTGTAAATATGTATACAACTATACACGTCTATCTACATCTATGTCTGTCTATATATCTATATACTTGTATGCCGAAGCATGTATGTAGGAATTGCTGTATGTATGCGTTTATGAACGAATGTATGTATGTATGTATGTATGCACGTATGTACGTATGTACATAGGTATGTATGTATGCATGCATGTCTTCATGCATGTATGCACGTATGCCTGTATGTGTGCGTGTACTCAACTCTTACCTGCCTGTGTGTGTGTGTGTGTCTGTGTGCTTGTGTCTGTGTCTGTGTGTGGGTGGGTGGGTGGGTGGGTGGGTGGGTGGGTGGGTGGGTGGGTGGGTGGGTGGGGGGGGTGGGTGGGGTGGGGGGGTGGGGTGGGTGGTTGGGTGG